GATATCTACAATGAGAATTTTAAAACACTGCTCAAAGAAACCAGATATGATACAAACAAATGGAAAAATGTTCCATGCTCTTGGATTGAAACAACAAATATTGTTAAAATGGCCACACTGCCCAAAGAAATTTACAGATTCAATGCTACCCCTATCAAACTACCAATGATATTCTTCACAGAATTAGAAAAAAAAAAAAATTAATTCACATGGAACTGAAAAAGAGCCTGAATAGCCAAGCCAATCCTAAGCAAAAAGAACAAAGCTGGAGGCATCACATTACCCAACTTTAAACTACAGTACAAGGCTACAGTAACCAAAACAGCATGGTACTGGTACAAAAACAGACACACAGACCCATGGAACAGAACAGAGAGCCCAGATATAATGCCACACACCTACAACCATCTGATCTTTGACAAAGCTGACAAAAACAAGCAACGGGGAAAGGACACCCCATTCAATAAATGGTGTTGGGATAACTGGCTAGCCATATGCTGAATATTGACACTGAACCCTTTCCTTACACCACACATAAAAATCAATTCAAAGGGCTGGGCACAGTGGCTCACGCCTGTAATCCCAGCACCTCAGGAGGCCAAGGCAGGCTCAGGATCGCTTGAGGTCAGGAGTTCGAGACCAGCATGGCCACCATGGTGAAATCCCATCTCTACTAAGAATACAAAAATTAGCCAGGCATGGTGATGCGTGCCTGTAATCCCAGCTACTCGGGAGGCTGAGGCAGGAGAATCACTTGAACCTGGGAGGCAGAGGTTGCAGTGAGCTGAGATCGCACCTTTGCACTCCAGCCTGGGTGATAAGAGCGAGACTTCACCTCAAAAAAAAAAAAAAAAAAAAAAAATCAATTCAAGATAGATTAAAGAATTAAACATAAAATCTAAAACTATAAAAACCCTGGAAGATAACCTAGGAAATACCATTCTGACTACAGGTCCTGGACAAGACTTCATGATGAAAACAGCAAAAAATTTACAACAAAAACAAAAATTGACAAATGGGACCTAATTAAACTAAAAACCTTCTGCAGAGCAAAAGAAACTATCAACAGAGTAAACAGACAACCTACAGAATGGGAGAAAATATTAGCAAATTATGCATCCAACAAAGGGTGAATATCCAGCATCTATAAAGAACTTAAGCAAACTAACAAGCATAAAACAACCCCATTAAAAAGTGGGCAAAGAGGCCAGGCGTGGTGGCTTACGCCTGTAATCCTAGCACTTTGGGAGGCCCAAGGTGGGTGGATCACGTGATGTCAGGAGTTTGAGACCAGCCTGGCCAACATGGCAAAAACCTGTATCTAATAAAAATACAAAAATTAGCTGGGCATGGTGGTGGGCACCTGTAATCCCAGCTACTCGGGAGGCTGAGGCCAGAGAATCGCTTAAACCCAGGGAACGGAGGTTGCAATGAGCTGAGATCGTACCACTTCACTCCAGTTTGGGTGAAAGAGCGAGATTCCATCTAAAAAAAAAAAAAGGGGGGGGGGGGGGGGGGGGCAAAGAACAAGAACAGACATTTTTCAAAAGAATACATACACATGGCCAATAAGTTTATGAAAAAAAGTTCAACATTACTATCAGAGAAACGCAAGTCAAAACCACAATGAGACATCACCTACACCAGTCAGAGTGGCTATTATTAAGTCAAACAATACATCCGTGTGGTGTGAGAAATCTGAAGGAAAAAAAATAAAAGTCAAAAATAACAGGTGCTGGCAAGGGTGAAGAGAAAAGGGAATGTTTATACATTGCTGGTGGGAATGTAAATTAGTTCAGCCATCGTGGAATGCAGTGTGGCAATTTCTCAATGAATTTAAACAGAGTTATCATTCAACCCAGCAATCCCATTACTATGTATATATCCAAAGAAATTGTTCTGCCATAAAGATACATGCACACATATGTTCATCACAACACTATTCACAATAGCAAAGACATAGAATCAACCTAAATACATGTAAGTGGTAGACTGGATAAAGAAAAAATGGTACAAACATATCATGGAATACCAGGCAGCCATAAAAAAGAACAAGGTTATGTTTTTTGCAACAACATGAATGGAGCTGGAGGCTATTATTCCTAAGTGAACTAACATGGGAAGAGAAAATCAAACAATGCATGATCTCACATGAACATAAAGAGGAAAACAACAGACAGCAGGGCCTACTTGAAGAGGGAAAGGATCAAAAAATTAGTCTACTGGGTACTATGTTTATTACCTGGGTGACAAAATAATCTGTATACCAAACCCCCATGACACTCAGTTTACCTATATAACAAACCTGCACATGTGCCCCTGAATCTAGAATACAACTCTTTCTAAAATAAAAGGCTGAGGCAGGAAAATCACTTGAGCCTGGGAGGTTGAGGCTGCAGTGAGCTATGATTATGCCACTGCACTCCAGCCTGGGTGACAGCTTGGGTCTCTAAATCAGTAAATTAAATTTAAACAAAAGACTACACAGCCATGTTGGCATAGCTATGGTTCATGGTCACAGAAATATATATATGCTAACCTCAAAAAAAAAAAAAAACTACTATTCAAGTTTCTTTGTTTAAAAGAAAAAGACTGTGTCTCTATCTATCTGAAGAAAGGGAAGAGTCAGGATGAAAACCTCAAACAACAGTGATGAGCTCTCAGCAACAGCAGGATGGCAGGCGATTAGTTTCTTTGTATGTTTCTGCATTTTCCAATTTTTCCTCACACGGAGTTGTGCTATTTTTACATAGGAAGTAACAACGAGAGAGGGACCGAGAAAGAGAGGGAGGAGAGAAGACCAAAAAAAAAAAAAAAAAGAAGGAAGAAGGGAGAAGAGGAAGACATTGAAAGATTGATACATTAATTCATCCCTTTCTAACATTCTGGTGGAAAAAGAGCACCTGTTTAAATTCTTCATAAATCTCTGTAGTTGCCTTAGATGTTGGAATTGAGCCACACAATAAATGAAAGATGGTACTCTTCAAGTGGACTGCAGGAAAGGATTTCAGAGTTACCCTAAGCCTGGCTCACTCAAAAGCCCAAGAAGGAGAAATGACACCAAGAAAAACAGCATCAGAACATAAGTCGGCAGAAAACTTCTGCATTTTTTGATACAATGTATTCCTGGCCCACAGGAGCCACATGGGACAAATTCCACAGTGACAGGTGCAACAGTGAATCTAATCTTCCACATTTACACAATATTTGGTATTTGATGTTTTTTTGTCTTACTTGAAATTGTAGGCCGGGCGCGGTGGCTCAAGCCTGTAATCCCAGCACTTTGGGAGGCCGAGACAGGCGGATCACAAGGTCAGAAGATCGAGACCATCCTGGCTAATACGGTGAAACCCCGTCTCTACTTAAAAAAATACAAAAAAAACTAGGCGGGCGAGGTGGCGGGCGCCTGTAGTCCCAGCTACTCGGGAGGCTGAGGCAGGAGAATGGCATGAACACGGGAGGCGGAGCTTGCAGTGAACTGAGATCTGGCCACTGCACTCCAGCCTGGACGACAGAGCGAGACTCCATCTCAAAAAAAAAAAAAAAAAAAAAAAAAAAAAAAAATTTAAGATATGCATCAACTCTCAGCCAGGCATGATGCTGTCAGGAATATAGCTGTGAGCAAGACACAACAGCTGTGTGCACCCAGCTCATGGCTGAGGGAAAGAAAAGCAGGCCGACAGGGAGAGGGCCAGCAATCAGAGGGAGCCCCAGTAGGAAGCAGAGTGAGTATCTGGGTGATCTTACCATCTTCTGACCTCGTGATGTAACCTAGCTGGTTGAATATCCTGTGCTACTGCCATGAGGTTTTAGGAGACAGTCAACCAGGTCGCTGCCTCCATACAACCATGCTGATGTAACTATGTATGTGGCTATGAGCCCTTCTGCAATTCCTTATAAGCCAAATACAAAAGCAGTGGCCATGGCTGGGTGCGGTGGCTCAGGTGGCCAAACCAGGTGGATCATGAGGTCAGGAGTTTGAGACCAGCCTGACCAACACGGTGAAACCATGTCTCTACTAAAAATACAAAAATTAGCCGGGCGTGGTAGCGCACACCTATAATCCCAGCTATTCAAGAGGCTGAGACAGGAGAATCGCTTGAACCCAGGAGGCAGAGGTTGCAGTGAGCTGAGCTCATGCCACTGCATTACAGTCTGGGCAACAGAGCGAGACTCCGTCTCAAAAAAAAAAAAAAAAGAGCCACACATGCTGTCAGGCATTCTCAAAACGATGAACGTTCCTCCTCCCCCTCCTCTTACTCTTCCTCATTCCTCTCAAGAGTACAGAAAAAAAGTGGGGTAGTGGGAGGGAACACGGAAGAGCAGTAGTTGGAAACGTCCAGGAGCCGAACTCACATACCACAGTAAAGACCGGGGAAGCACACACAGAGCATCAGAGCACTGACAGAGAAAAGGCTGAGCTTCCTGAGACCCAGGCCCTGCATGGGAGAGGCTGCCCAGGACACAAATGGCCCATCACACAGCAAGGCTGAGCTTCCTAAGGGCCAGGCCCCACACAGGGGAGGCTGCCTGGGACACACTCGCCCATCGCATAGGAACACGGTGCACCGCACAGGCCACTGTTGGGATCGATCTTCTCTGGGCCAACACTGGGACCAGAATGCAGAATGGCTGTACACTGTATATACGGAGATGATGAGGACAGGCCCGAGTTGTGAAGAAAGATGTTATGTTTGGTTAAATTAAGGTGGAATATGGCATAATCTTTTTGTGATATTTCCATTGTAAAAGTTGTAGTTTTAAAACCCCAAAATCTAGTGTTAAGTCCCAGGTATCAAGAAACTCATTATACCTTGGTATTCAAGACAGTGAAGATTCATGACACTTATCACAAAAGAAAATATACTAGAGTGGGTGGCCCAAACATAATTTAAAGTATGTGTCTAAAACAGAAAGGAAAAGAATCGCACCCGGTACCCAGATCTGAAAAGAAAAAAAAAAAAATGCATTCAAAAAGGTTCCCCAGGACTTGAACTCACTCTGTCTTTATCGTCTGCTACATCACAGAGAATGTCATCAAGGTCTAGTATTCCTCCATCTCCATGTTCCAAGCGATGCACTTGTATCCAGTAGTTTGGGTCCTATACGAAAGAACAGAAACATTGAATATAGCAAGTTAGCATCACCAAAAGGGAATTAGACATTTCAAACCATGATAACTTCCTGCCCATAAAAAGGAATCAACCCCATATCAACAATACTGCAATTGATTAAAAATTCAGGCAGCACCCTAAGTTTGGTATTGAGTCACTGCTCCTTTTATGGAGTGACTCATACACACTCTTCCCTTTGGCTCTGATGCTGATACTCTATTATAATAGAACTGCACAAACCAGCAATATGTGCTGCAGAAGTAATATTGATTTCTCTAAAGCATACTACATTTCCTATTGCCCAATATATGAAATACTTATCATACTTATTAATCCCCCCAGTGCAATCTACAGAAATATTCTAATAAGCAAACAGCACATATTATGTGTCTGAAGAATTCGTATTTTTGCTTACCTGCATAAAGTAGTTTGCACAACTTGGTGGCTCAAAGTGTTTCTTACAAACAGGTCTAAAGATAGGGACACAGAAGGATGCTGACAAGACCAAAGTGAACAAAGCACAACCTGTGTGGTTTGAGTTTCTTTATACAGAGACAAAATCTCACACACACACACACATCAAAATGCCTAAACACACACACACACACACACACACACACACACAAATTTGCAGTGGTTATCCTGCAGTGTGATTGGGGAGAATGAAAAAAAAAAGGACATATTTTAAATTTTATACACTTTTATATGGTGTATGCATATTTTAAAATCCTTAAAACTCTGCTTTCAAATTATCTGAAGAAGGAATACTGTTGTGTGTTTCTGAACTTCTACATCACTCTCACATACATGTTCAAATGAAAATATACTAAATTGTATGTTTCACCATTCCCTACTGCGTTTGCTACCCAAAAGTTCAAGTTAATCCTCCATTCTTCAAACCGAAAAGGTGATGTTTGGTACAGTTCTTTCCTGAAGCAAAGATTGCAAGAAGGAGGCAAACGATTAATGAGACTTCAAATACAGATTCCTGGACCCTACTACAGATCTACTGACCAAGACCCTGGAGAAGGGGTGCAGGGAGAATCCATACTCTTAAGAAGTTCTCCAAGTCCATCTCTAACAAAGCATGCCTAAGAATCACTAAAATGGAATGCTTATTTTAAAAATGCAGAATGATCAATCCTTGTCACTTTTTAACCAGCACAGCAAGTAACTCAGACCTTAATCCTCAAAGTTAGTAAGCATTACCATTAAAACCATTATGCAAGTAACAGAGTTCCTCCGAACCCTCATTTATCTGGACCTCTATAAAAGGAATCATTTATATAGAACGCTGACAGTTAAGTTTGTAAAACACACACACACACACACACACACACACACACACACACACACACACCCCCCTTGGCATCCTCTTCATTTGTGGGGCCTATTCTGACTGCACATGAATCCCAATTACAATATCATCCAAGAGTCCTTGGGACACCTGCCACTGAGACAGCTCCAGAATTTGTCATGTCCAGATGTGTTGAGTCCCCAAAGAATGAAGTCCCAAAACCATTTACTAATGGTAAATGGTATTTCCTCTTCAAGGAAAATTGGAAATAATGTCCTGGGGGTGAATAAGGAAGAGGTGCCCCCTGGCCACTTAGAATAGCCACATCCTGCCCACCTCTTCCCACCAAGCAAGCTTAAGGGTGAACCAATCAACTTAAATATCAACTTTCATTTCTAAAATACTTCCACACACACAAGCACACCGACCTCCAAAATGTGGCTTACGAAACCATTCTTTAAGCTTCCTGATCCTGTTCACTCCCTCCAGATGAGATCATTATCTGCAGCCTTTATATAATATTTGTAGCCACCCCTTGGAAATAAATCCCCACCTAAGGACTTTCTCAACCTCCTAACTTCATCCCTCAGAACCTGCTACATTTCCACCTTTTCCCCAGCATCTTCCCTTTCACAGCCTGTTAGGCCCTGCACAACTTCCCCCCAACTCCGTGTCCAAGGCCTCCGATGCCTAGACCCCACCTTACCCTCCAGGCCAGCCCTGTCCGTTCATCAAGACTTCTCAGGCATTCTCTTCTCCAAGAGCTTTTCCTGACCATCACACCCCCAAAGCAGATCAGCAGTCAAACTCCAGTCCACTGTTTCCTTTTGTTTATAGACAGAGTCTTGCTCTGTCATCCAAGCTGGAGTACAATGGTGCAATCATAGCTCACTGCAGCCTCCAACTCCTGGGCTCAAGCAATCCTCCCACCTCAGTCTCCCAAAGTGCTGGGATGATTAGGCATGAGCCACAGAGCCTAGCCTGTCCCACTGTTAATGTTCCTAAAAACCACAATCGTATGGAAGATAGCAGTCAGGTGTCAAGCTCCAGCCTTTAAAGGCTGTGAATCATTTTTACACATGCCGCACAAAACCTTTCGTTGACACTACTTTGCCTTCCAGTTATTATACCAATTCTCTGATGATCTTCACAGCAAAATTTTTTAAAGAATTGTCCATACTTGCTTCAAGCGTGTTTCCTCCCATAACCCCATTCCAATCAGGCTTCCTCTTCCATCACATCCACAACAGCCTCCACAATGCTTAACACAAAAGTCTGTTGTCTGTCCTCATCTTATTTGGTCTATCAGCAGAATTTGTTACCCCCTCTTTGAAATACTCTATAAACTTGACTTACAATCCTCCAACTAACTGATCAAGGCTTTTCTAATTTTGAGAGTCAACAGTTGACTCCTGCCTCTGGAGGGGTCCTGACTCAACAGTCAGCTATGCCAAGCAGTCATGATAACATTATGCCAAGGCAAATATCAGGCTGCCACTTACTAAATGCCACTCCACAAAAATGTGCTGAATAGATATGACTTTTTGAAAAGAACTGAGCAGGAGATCAACAGTAACCCCAACAGAGCATGCTGCATTGGAAAAAAAAAAAAAAAAAAAAAACATGTAAAATTGACCTCCTCCCACAAGAGTTTAAAAACCAGGAAGGATATTTTTGCCACTGAGAAATACAACTCCTTAGAACAGTGGTCTCTTGGGAGATTTTAACTGGCAGCTTTCATAACATAATTCTCTTTCAATGAACAGAGGACTTGCTTTATTTTTAAGGGAAGAGTCTAGTATCCAATAGAGAAAAAGTTAGAGCATACTTACTGATTTGACTTTGTAGTAGTTTGCATTAAAAGTTTAAAATAATAACGGTAGGAATCTTTGCTGTCCAGTCCATAGACACTTAGAAAAGTAGCTGAGCAAAAAATTGTGATAAGGTCTGGCATGATGGCTCATCCCTATAATCCCAGAACTTTAGAAGGCCAAGGCATAGTGACCCACACCTGCAGTCCCAGCTAAGTGGGAGACTGAGGCAGGGGGATCCCTTGAGTACAAGAGTTCAAGGCTGCAGTGAGCTGTGAATACACCACTGCACTCCAGCCTGGGCAACAGAGTGAGGCCCCATCTCTTAGGGGGAAGATAAAAGTTATGATAAGCCACTTTTCATACTACCAATAAACTCTAATTCTACAATAACTGCATCAGTCATTGGGTGAATAAACAAACATAACACAACATTCAATTAAAAAAGAAGAAGGTTTCTCATTCAGGATATGTCCATTTAAAATAACAAAAGACTTTAACAATAATTGTGTATTATGACAACCAAAACTCCATCATACACAGCAATAAATGAGGAGCAGAGTTCATCCATCAAATAGATGATCAAGCAGTAAATGTCCCCATGGGGCAAGGCTTGCAAGGATAGGTCCAAACCCACAGAAGAAACCTGGAGACAAAACCACATGAAGAATCACTGCTCTTATTCAGATAAAGAACATGACCTTCACCTGGCCTAGTGCTAGAGAGAACATTTCCGAAAACTAAGTTGGAATGTAAGCAGAGGTAACCCTACAAGATGCAAGTTGCAAGGAATGCTGAGGCCCACTCTACTCCAGGATGTGGTAAGAGAGAACAGCTCAAAGTCTTAAGGAGAGATTACTTCCTAACCTACCTTCAGGAAATCTCTCAGATTCTATAAACAGCATCGTTATCCTATGCAACAAGTTAATGAGCTTTCGTGAGTTATGACATGTATAATGCATAGGCTTCACATATTACCTGCACGTGCAAATTTCAAGAAAAGTATCTGCAACTAGAAATAGCATCCTACTTTTGCATTAACCATGGCATACAGCAATGGTCAATATCCTGTCTAACTTAAGACCAGAAAAAGATCACTGAAAAAAATCTACGTTGATAAAAAAATTTTTGAGTATTTACTACATGCAAAGCATTGCATGAAGGCAAAGAAACAATCACCACCCATCATCAGAAATTAAAATGTATCTGACAGGCCAGGCACAGTGGCTCACACCTATAATTCCAGCGCTTTGGGAGGCCAAGGCAGGCGGGTCACCTGAGGTCAGGAGTTAGAGACCAACCCGGCCAACACGAGGAAACCCTGTCTCTACAAAAAGCACAAAAATTAGCCAGGCATGGTGGTGTGCGCCTGTAGTCCCAGCTCCTCCTTCTCCTGTAGTCTCAGGAGAATCACTTGAACCTGGGAGGTGGAGGTTGCAGTAAGCTGAGATCACACCACTGCACTCCAGCCTGAACAACAGAGCGAGACTCCATCTCAAAAATAAAATAAAATTGACCTGACAAAACATAAACAAGTCATAAAAAAGAGGTAGACTATGAGTTCAAAGAAAACTACACCAAAAAAAAAAAAAAAAGTTTTGTGAACTCAGGAAGGAAAGATCACTCTCACTTGGAAAGGTCAGTTTATGGGGAGGTTTTAGCAGAGTCGGCTCTTAACAAATGAGTAGACCAGAGGGACAGGGCACAAGAGGAGGACCCTGAGCGGGGGAAGGGTGTGAGCAGCAGGGAAGAGAGGCAGAGGTGATTCAGAACACTGTGAACACAAAGATAAAAATGAAAGGGTAAAAACATCATCTCAAAAAGACACACTTTTATTTTTATTTCCTCCTGAAAGCCCACTGAAACCACAATACACATGT